AGCTCATTATACCAATTGATCTTATGGAATGAAATATAATTACGCCTTTATGTAAATTGTTAATGCGTGCCATTTTATTTCTACTAATCTAGAAAAATATAATTCTTAATGATATGACACATTTCAAGAGATGAAAAAAAGAGAGGCAGAGAAGGGAGAGAATTAAAATTGTTCTCAGTCAAATCTAGAGGAATCATGAAGAGTGAAGAAAATGCTGCGTTAAACCAAAATCTCTTGAGCTTCCCATCGACCCCATAAATAACATTTATCCCTCAATTAGGGAGGCTCTTCCATTCTAATTCGTGAGCTTTATTATACAAGCGCATTATTACTTGAGCATGTGCATTGCAGAAGCTATCCTATTTTACCCCGTTCTTCCTTCCCTATCCGACGCTTCGCTTTCTCTATAATCCTCGGGTTACATTCGCAAGCTCTCAACACATGCTACAGCTTTTGCCTGTTCTTAAGCTCACCGTGATCAATATTTCTTTTTTTTTTATTATACCTCGATTTACATCAAAATTTGCGGCTAATCAGCAGGAGAGAACCTCCTCCGCTTTGAAATTTGATATATCGTATGCTTTTCGGAAAAAAAAGAAAAAAAATTAGAATTTTTATGCTTCAGATATTACTATGTCTTTTTAACGCGGCTTTTATTAGAATTAAAATATTTCTAACCGTTGCGAGACAAGTATTTTGCTTTCTAAGTATATGAAATTGTATGTATAATATATATTTATACTATTATATAATATATATTTATATAATTAAACTTTTTATCAAAAACTTTTTATTAAGAACTACTAATTGTAAAACACCGAGGAGGTAGCCACTAGCTGAAATGTCCCACCGATTACATAATTTCATTTGATTTCATATGATTTCATCTGATTACAAATGATTTCATCTGATTACAAGTGATTTCATATGATTTCGCGTGATATATTTTATCCTTCTTTAATATTTAGTGAACAATAGAGATAAAATGATACATCATGTGTGAAACGGAACGCTCTCCGAGGGACATGAGACATGGCCGGCACGTGTGAGAAGGAGGGAATATAATTGGATTTTTCATTCTCTTTCTAATATTCCTACCACTCGTCTGTTAGAAGAGAACAAAAAATCTAACTGTGTTTCCTCCTCACATGCGCCAGCCATCGATATCCTTGTCTGGCATATGGCAATGCTCGGTCTATGTTTATGCCGTGATGCTGCAGTGATGCCACTTCGGAGACGCTTTAGTCCACAAACGCAATAGAGTAGTAAGCCTTAAATCTTAAAGAATTGATCATTCATAGTCGATCATTCTTTTCACATTCGACTGTGATTAATCAATTTTTTAAGACTTAAGGCTTACTACTCTATTGTGTTTGCGGACTAAAGCGTCTTTGAAATGGCATCACTGCAGCTGAGGTTACCGCGTATTGTACGTAAGTCGCACACAAAATTCCACAGTGACCGTAAGATGTAAACTTAGGTCGATGAGCCAATCAAGATATTACTTTAGGTCTACATAATCTAACGGAAATGGAAACAACAGTAAACTTACCTATAATCTCGCAATAAGGCAATAAAATTTCTACCGGTTGAAACTCGCCTTATGGATGGAAGTTTACTGCTATTTCTATTTCCATTAGAATACGTAGATCTAAAGCAATATCCTGATTGACTCATCGGCTTAAGTTCACGTCTTAAGGTTACTGTTACAGAAATTTTGTCTGCAGACCTAAGCGCTGAGTCATATGTATGTACGCAGTCGCGCTTATGTGCATAAGTTTCGACAGTCCCATAACACAATACGTTTACTTTTTATATTTACGCACTGTAAGCTTCATTCTATCCTTTTTTCGCAAGTAGCAAGTAATAAAGATAGAATGAAGCCTACAGCGCGTAAAAAATAAACGCACTTTAGGTAATAAGCCTTAAACCATAAGAAATCAATCAATCATGGTTGATTATTCTCTTTACACTCGACTGTAATTGACTAATATCTTATGGCTCAAAGCTTACTATGTCTATTTATTTTAGGATTATTCTATGCGTTTGTGCATAAATTTGGTATGCATTCCTAGAATTCTATATATATATATATATATATATATATATATATATATATATATATATATATATATATATATATATATATATATATATATATATATATATACAAAAAAGCGCAACCGAATATATATCGCGTCACCTGTGTATAAAACATCGCTGCATATATTGTTTACGTTCTGCTACTTTAGAATAATTATTCATACTGATTTCATCAGACTTCATGGTGATCACACATGATTTCATCACAGATTTTATGATAATTTCCAGAAAATCACAATGATTTCTGTTGATTACATATCATTTCATTATGATTTTTGATGATTACGCATAATTTCATCTCACTTTATGATTGCAAAATAATTACATAGGGATTTTGTAAAGATTTCATAATGATTTCGGGGATCCTGTCCCATGACTTCATTAAGTAGTTATCCCCTCGTAAAACACGCTCCTGTATTCTGGAGCTTATTATATTCAATCATTTGTAGTCTTATCTTCTTTAATCAGAATGGTATCATAAGAACCCCTGTGAAAATAGCCTCCCAGTATTAAAAAAAATTAATCTTTTTGAGAATTCTGTATAGATTTTCGATAGTTCCAAAGTTTCTGACAATTTTAAAAAAATAGTTATGATCATTAAAGGCATAAAAACGCGATTCAAAGCTATGGGGGAACTTATTAAAATTTCGACGTAGGACTTAAAAAATTTTCAATAAATTTTTTGAGAAAAATTTTTCCAGTAATTCTGATTGAAGTTCTGGAGAGTTCTCGACAGATTCTATCGAAAATGTAATTACTCAATTAGATGGTTACATAAGGAGATACATGTTCTTATAACAAATTTTTTAAATTTCGTTTTAAATACATATCTCTTTTATTTTTGAGTTTATGTTGGTTTTAATTACTAAGAATTCTTCGAAATAGATAAAATAACAATTAACATGTCACAGAATTATTGTAGCAAAAAATAAAAATAAAAAATTTTTTATTTTTTTATTTTGTTATGGGTCAAAATTGTTTTTTTATGTATCAGGATGTATCTCTAGACATTTACAAAATAGAGCTATTAAGTCAGTACTTCAATCTCGTTCAGTACTATTCAATCTTGAATTTTGATAAAAAGTTAGCACCCCATTTTTTTTAAATTATCTAAAATTAAATGATAATTAAGAATTCTTGTTATAAACTATATAGAACTCTTTATCTCGTCAAAAGGAAATGGGAACTCTAATCAGAACTATGGAATTTTAATATTGGGATGCTAACTTCACAAACGCAACTTTTTATGTATAACATGAGCCGAATAAGGCCTAGCACTAAATAAGACCCACTTTCAAATTTATTACTTTAAAATGCGCTTTACGCTTGCAGTATATGTTTAAAAGATTATAGGAAGTAGATAAAAAGGAATTAGAGAATTGGAATCGGTAGCAACACGTTTACTTAACACGACAAAAACTTGTGTGTATGATCCATTTCTAATAACGATTCGCTGTAAAATTTATCAGTACACATCGTTTCATAGTTTATTATATAATACGTCATAATATTATTTAATTTCCTAGCTGGAAAATAACAAATAATTCAATTTTTTTTAATGAGTATAACTTTTTTTTTAAATAATAATAGAGTATACAGATAATGAGAGCGTTAATACAATGCGGGAATTGGTGTACAATTCATATAATAATCAAATAATATTCACATAATATATTAATAATCTACAATGACTGTCGACTTTTGACATGACTGTTAACATAACAAATTTTCAACATTTACGGACTATATTATCAAGACGTCGATGAAAATTATTCACTTTGCTAATGATGGTTTGAAGTAAACATCTAAAGAAGTTTGTATCAATAGTTATTGTAGATTATTAATATATTATGTGAATATTATTTGACTATTATATTGCACAATTCCCGCACTATATTAACACTTTCATTGCTCGTATACTCTATATTATTATTTTTAATTTCGAGAACTCTATTAATATTTAAATTTTGTTTTTTTTGTTTTTTTAACAATGTAGGTACTTATTAAATAAGGTTCATTTTTATGTAATTATTATTATAGCTATTGTTATTTGTTCGTTACGTGAACCAGAAAACGATTTTTAATATTGCTATTTTTTAAGAAGCTAAAATTGTATTCAAATTGATAGAAATTTCCAAAGATAAAATTATAGATAAAATTAAAGATAATTGTAATGTTTGAAAGTAAAATAAATCCTAAGAAATTTTCTTTTTATGATTAATAATCATTTTTAAATTGATTTAGAAAGATAATGTTTATTTTTTGTTATTAATTAATTTTTTTTATGAACCTTATTATATTCATAACCTCAAACCTCAATGTCAGAAACTTTGAACAAATTTTTTTTCGTTCATTTACAAATATTTTATATAAACAATTTTTATGAGTAAATGAAATAAAGATTTGATTCTCATTTAATTTATTCCAATATTTTTATAAATAGAATTTTTTTTAAATAAAATAAATTAGGTAGGTCTTATTTGACTTAAGTATAGGGATAAATATCTTACAGGATAAGAGAAAAGTACTTGGTCTCTGAATATGAAATATTTAAAAAAATATAAGCTTAATAGAAAATTGTTTCAGATAAAAGTGTAAGATTTATTTACTTAATAATTAATATCATCAATTTGATCTTAGGTGGCGTCGCCAAGGTCAGAACAAGTTCATCTTGAATTTTTTTAAATAGAACCTCCTGTTTCTTGTTGCATATTCTTCTAGCCTAGGAAACATTATCCTCTCATTTTAATGCACGTATATAGCCTTAGCCACATTCTGAATGTTCTTTACGTAATTATAATCCTAGATCTCATAAAACCCATTTGGATTCAACTTCAAATATTCTCGAATCTTGTTGAACGGTCTTTCGAATTCATAATGCTCGTGCAAGTACTTACCATGAAGAAGTCTGCGTAGGTATCGCCGGTAGTGTTCCAGGTGGCAAAGACCTCCTCATCTGGCAGCAAGCTCTGCCGTTGGTGGATACGTCTCCGCAACAGGCGGCTGGATTCGTGCACACGTGACGGCCGACACCGATGTTGGCGGTTGTTGTGGTCGTCGCAGTGCCAGCGGTGCCGACGGTGCCGGCAGCACCTGTAGCTGCACCAAATTCAACTGCGGAAGTACGCACTTTAGGTCTCAGCAATGGCGACGTGGCGAACGTCTCGCGCTGATTAGACGTCGTGCTGCTGGAGCTGCTGGACCCAGGACTGCCACCCAATCGACTGGACGTCGCGTATGCAAATCCACGGAACCGGAAATGCGTCTGATACGGATAACCGGAGGGCGGCGGTAGCCGATCGTGGTCAAAACCAGTGAGACCGCAAATGCGTTGTAGAGGGAAAACGGGAGGGCGGGTTTAGCCGATAATGGTGATGAAAGCCAAGGTCGCGACGCATGTATGGATCCCCTGGATCGCTCGCGGGTACATATCGATCGGTTGGTGTGTGCGCTGCAGGTGGCACATATCTATCTACATATCTGAACAATCAGGAAACCAAGCTTTTAGGTTCCACTCATATGGAAATAGACACAGAAGGACAAGACGTGAAAAATTTTTAATAGAAAATAAACGTTTTTGGAAAATAAAATGATGTAAATCATGAGGTATATATTAAAATACGTTAAAATAATTGAATGAATAATTTTTAATTTCCGTATCGCAAAATTATTAGTATATATAACTTAATTTATATTATAATTTATTTATAATATATGTTTTAATTTTTCAAAAATTAGGTTGCATAACATGTTTTATGATGCAGTTAGAGAAAACCAAATAAATAACAGTTTTACTAAAAAAGAAGTGGTTGAAAATTTCTAAAATTAATTTTATTTTTCTTATTGTTAGAATTGTCATAGTAAGATTATTAATATAATTTTTTTAAGGAAGGAAAAACAAAATTTCTAATTTCTAATTCTAAAATATCTTCAATGATATCTTCTAAGATATCTTCAATCTTATACATATAATATATATAGCAATCCCTTATCATGTTGCCTATCCGATTCTTACCTATCCGGATAGAGCACTTCGGGAGGCGGTTGGGGCACGTATCGTTCAACTGGGGTGTGCGCAGTTGGGGGTACGTAGCTCACGTTAGGCGAGCCGTAAGTGCGATCGGTGGAGGACGTCGAGACGGCGGTGGTACAAGATATGGGTGTTATACGGCCGGTGAACCTGTCCTTAGGCTTCGGCAAGGACAGGTACTTGTCCGTGACGCTACGTGCTGGCGAATAGCGATCAGCAGGAGTATGAAAACGATCAGTTCCGGGAGAAGTCTGAAATCGGTCACCGCTATTGCCTGTAGTAAAGTATCGGTCTTGGCCGAACTGGTGATCATTCTGACTGCCGACCGAGTAGCGATCATAATTGCTCTGAACCGACTTCGAGACCAAATATTTGTCAACGGTATTCTTCGTATTCTGGTAACCACCATTGCCGCTGCGGTGGACGTTCGACGCTTCCGACGTTGGCGAGATTGACGCAAAGCGCTCATTGGAGGCCGAAGATTGAGTACCGGTGGTCGTTGTATAGGGCGAATGATATCTGGAGCCTAAGTTTCGAATGGAAAATGGAAAATGATATTGATAACATTTAAAATTGAATGAAAGTTCATTGAAACATAGAAATTTCAAGCAAAACGTAGAAACTGTACAGGTTATATATATATATATTTTTTTTAATTTTTTAAATTCATCTGTTTATTCTTCTTGAAAAGACTTCAACAGTGTACTGTGATATTACTGTGATACCAAGTTTTTACGAAACGTACTATGATATTTCTGTGGGACTAAGTTTTTGCGGAGTAAAGTTTCAAAATTTGAGGATATAACTAGAGTTCTGAGATATTTAAGTAATCAAATATCAATAATTCACAAAACTAAGAATCCAAATATTAGTGGAACAAAAAATAAATCAAGATGCGCAAAGCACATTTTTTATTTTTAGCTCAATTAAAGCAAAACGCACACTTATCAGTCTCTGACGAGGAGGACGACGAAGAAGATGTCGGTGCCAACAGACGTTCAGTAGAGGAAACGATGTAACGCGGCGTCTCGGCATTGGATAGCCTGCCGTCGTGTGCGGGTGACGATCCAGCCAGGTATCGATCACTGGAGAACCTATCAATCGATCGCGATTGACTGCAACGCTGTAGAGCGAGGTCGTTAAAACGATCGTTGCTGGACACGTATCGTGTTTGACTGCCGACTTCCGAGAAACCTGAGTATCGACCGAAGTCAGCGGACGCTGGAGAGCCGATGGACCGATCAGTATACTTCTGGCAAACCGTCTCAACTCCTCTGTCGGTGTAGAGGCGTCGATTTTGCTCGGTATTACTCGAGGAAGTCTGAAGTGATGAGCGATCTGACGATGAATAGCGCTGATGCGCGCTCTCAGGATTAGGCGAATTCGAGAGGAACCTGCAGACATTCCAAATAGAAGAGACATGAAGTACATTTCAGAACCGAGCACGATTTATAATTCATTGAGAATTATGTAGCAAATCCAACAATTGTTCAACATTAAATATGTGTACATAATATGAATCCAATATCTAAATTTTTACACAATTGATTACTGCAGTAATTCACAAATCCGCAAAATTATTGCTCAGAATCAACTTAAGCTGACGTGAACTCACCTCTCAGTGGTCGTCGCCATCGCCGAATACCGCTCGTGATGTGCTGATGGGTCTTGTCGTGGATACCTATCGTGAATGGGTGACTCACCCAAATACCTTTCCGATTTGTCAACGAATCTTTCAGGCACCGGAGCGTGTATTGGCGAGGAGGATAATATCCTATCAGCGGAAATGGCGGCGTAGCGAGTATCTTTAGCGTAGACCGCGCTGCCCTGGAGTCCGGCCTGAAGTCCTCCCAGGATCGGAGAGGATCCCGAAAGCAGGCGATCAGGTGGTCCAGCGTAACGTTGTTGATCCTTAGCGTCACCTGTATCTGACTGTTGATTGGCCAGCAGCCGTTCGGCGGAAGCAAAGCGCTCCTTGGCGGGCATCGACGATGCTGTAGCGGCATTGTCGACACCATACTTGGGCCCCGGAGAATTGGGGGGCAAAATGCGATCAACAGAAGGGTAACCAGCCAAGCTCTGGCTCGAAGCGTACTTCTCGCTCGGACTGGGTGACAATGGCGGTGGTGGGACGAAGCGGTCATTCGCCGGTGCTGGCGACGGCGGCGATGGGAACGTCTCCGAAACGAAAGAGCTTGTGAGCGCATTCGTGTTCGCATACTCGCTGGACCCGCTCGTGCCTGTCGTGTCAAAGCGCAACTCCGGGTTGCAGACCGAGTAACGATCGTTCGAGGTTCGTTGTTCGCCGTGCAACGTGCTGACGTCATTGAATCGCGTGAAACGATCAGCACTTGCGTGTGCACCGCCATAGTGTCCCTGCAATGAGGACTGACCAAATGTCGAAGTCTGATAATGCCCGAAACGTTCGCAACTCGACTGTCGACCATCGGCGGTGCACTTGCTAAAATCGACCGACAATTTATCAGATGATTTCTCGTGCCGTTCGCCCCCCATTCGATTCCCCACGTGCTCGCCGCTTTGAGCCTGATAATGTCCGAAACGTTCACAACTCGACTGACGATCCTCTCCACACTTTGAGTAATCGATACAAGACTTATCCACGGTCTTCTCGTGCCGCTCAACCCCAATCCATCCTCCCACATGCTCGCTGCTTTGGGTCTGATAATGCCCAAAGCGCTCACAACTCGACGGACGACCCTCTCCGCACTTGGAGAAATCAATTGTAGGCTTCTCCACGGATTTCTCGTGTCGATCAACCATTCGGGTCCCATGCTCGTTGCTTTGGGTCTGTTGGTCCGACTGGTGACGTTCTTGACCCGATTGGCTTGCCGTACTCGTGACCGAACGCAAGTCGGACGATTGTTGCTGTATTTGCTGCTTAAAGCAATCACCGAGATTGTTGGAACCAATCTGAGTCCCCAAGCCGCCGGAACTCGGCGTGTTCGATCCGGGTAGCGGGGATGATGAGGATCCGTATTGTGCGATCGGGTGCTGGTGCAACAGGAGACGATCTCTTCGGCCATAGTCGTCGTCTGTCGGCATCCTGGTGGCCCGGGGCCCACTGTCAGGACATCTGCAATAAAAGCCGTGATTATAAAACGATGCTAGTAAATACAAACGTAATGTAAATATGGATTATAATAATGTAAATATAAATATAACATATGGGTTCTCCTTCACTCCTAATGTTCAATTTTCCAATCAAATTCTTGTAAAATTATTCATATAAGAACGTATCTGTGTTACAGCTGGCATGTTGCTTATAAATCTTAGCATGTATTGTATCAGAATTATAGCAACTGAGACTGCTTTTAATTATTTATTGATAAATTAATGTTTTCACGATATGATAACTTTAGATAATAACTTGTCAGCAACTTATGTTGTAAAACGAAATCGTCATCTATCGAGTACGCAGTAATTAACAATATAGCAAGTTGATGAACTACTTCACTACATCACTACTTGTACTAATTTTAATAATAAATTATGACAAAAAATAAATTATTACAAAAAATTAGAACTTTTCAACTCAACTTTGAGTAATCTTCAGCCTATATCTCTTAAATATAACGCCGCTAATTTGAAATATTGCATCGCAAATCAATATCTCCAAATTTCTTGAATGTGATTGTCATGGAGCAAACGCGAGACAAGAAGTCGTATTCCAACATTAGTAAATGTTGTCCAATAACAGACAGTTTCAAAAATAAGTGGTTAAGAACTCAAGCTCACAAAGAATGATTACAACTAGTTAATAATTATTATAAATGAAGTCAAAAATTTTCTTTCTCGTCACATATTAAAATTTAAGAGAATGAACATTCCGCAATAACCAAAACATATCTTATCGGTTTAACAAACAATCAAATAATGATCATTACAAACATCTTCGCCAATTGCACATTTCTTTTTTTCAATACACAGATGCATTGCAGAATGAACATTCTACAGCTATTCTATAACTATTTCTCTATTTCTCTTTGTTTTTATTCTTCTCTCTAACTTGGAAACTATGGGTTTCTCTCTGAATCGTTCATATCTCAATTCCCGTGATGCTTCGCGAAATGCAGCATCCTGGTGACTCGATATAAATATTCTATTAACTGTTCTTATTCATTGCGGCCATTGTCTGATCATTTCTCTCGCATAATAACAGCAAAATTAAAACAAGCGCATCGTAAATTTCTTGTCATTAATTTAAATTGATAGCAGACTTGTTTCTGTATCCATTAGAAAAAACTTTTTCGATTCTTACAAATTAATATAAATTTTTTGTTATTATAATGTGCAATTTATTTTTTACAAACAAATTTGTAGTTAATATCATAAATAAATTTATAAAACGATTACATAAAAATTCGTTACCTAATGTTTTCTACAAGATTTTTACTATTTTCATTATCACGTGAATCAAATAGAAACATTTTGTAGACAATTGGTGTATAATGAATTTTTTTTGATAAGATAATTCGAAATAAGAATAATAAGTTTATCTTAAAAGCCTGACATGAAAACTATAATATCATTAAAATCTTTAAGCAAAATAAACAACATAAGTGTAGCTTATTTTGTTCTTTTTATGACATATCCTATTACAGTTGCTTGCGGAATTTTGTATTTAAGAAAGTAAAGAAATAAAAGTACGCGTTACATGTATTTTAATCTTTAGGAATTAGCATAAATTAAATCTAAAAAGTGGGCGAGGAAAATGTAAGAACAGATGTTCCCATAATTGTTCTCAGGACAATGTTTGTATTATCCGAGAACTCTCAGAGGATGAGAAAATATTGAGATAATACATGGGACCATCAGATAATGGCGTTTGATTCGCGCCAAAAACCTGCGACAACCAAAAACGTGTTTGTATAACACATTAAAAATTTGCCAATTGTAAAAATCGTCGGTGGCGCCGCGCCGTTTTCTGCAGCGCTTGATTTAGAAAAGGCCGAAGCTTTGCAGCGGAAATTCCATGTACAAAATTGTATAGAAATTAAAAAACAAGTCGAGAGAAAATATCGATATTTTACTTTATATAGTAATAAATCGATATAGTAATAGATCGAAGTACAAATGGGGTAATGCGAATTGCATGGTGTTGAATCCTGATAACACGTAGCCTTTCCTACTCAATCTCTACTTTCACCTCCAAGCAAGCATTAAGCCAACGTATCCCGTGTAAATAACCCCATCGGAGATTGGGTGACCAACTCCGGTGTAAAGTGAGGTCAGGACAGACGAAGAAGGAAGAAATGATTTTTCGAAAAGGGAATTAAACTAGGGGTTAACAATCCTTTCTCATAAAAAAGCAATGTCACGAAACCTTAGGAAGATGTAGACGACCCTTAAAAACTGGCAAACTACGAATGGACATGAGACTAGGATACCTGAACATTGTGTAGAACCGGAGTACTTAGGGCGCTGCTGGAAGTTATAGATGAATATATATTGGCGTTACAAGATATATGTCGCATAAGGCGTTGTGATGAAGAAATCGCACAACTTGTACCACAATTGCAAGAATGAACATGTGGAAGGAGTTAAAAGAACGTGTGATAGCGTTTGAAATTTTAAACGCAAGAATATAAATAAAAGAGAAGATCTTTAACTACTCACTCAACATGCACCAACCGAGGAGAAATCTGAAGATTAAGAAATTTTCTATGGTGAATTGGAAAGAATATATTAGCGATGCTGATACACTTTCGACACGAAATGACAAAACAATCATAGGCAATATGAACGCTAAAGGGAGGGAGTAGACTTTCCGTCCAACAATAGGAGCACACAGTCTACATCAGAATTCAAATGATAACGGGAAACGACTGATCAATTTGTGGCATCAATGAACATGACAATAGTAAAGGTGCTTTCAGATTTGGCCAATATAAACCAAATTTGCACGCATTCACTAAATTGATCTACATTCATGGATAATTGTGCATGTTATGTGCCTGTATATGTATAATATTTGACATATATGTGTGTAATATCTGCAATACATTGGCCATATACATATGTGCATCTAGAGACACCTAAACACAATGTTTGAACAAACGCACACACAAAGCTATTTAGATGTCACCAAATGGCAACATACAAAACCAGATTGATCATATACTTATAAATACAAGACATGGGTCAATGTGATGAACTGCCAGAGCTATAGAGAAGCAAACATAGACTCAGACTCACTTCTTAGTAGTAACTATCTGCGAACTCAAATATCAAATATAAAACAAAAAGACAATCTAAAAATAAAGAAATATCACTTGTACAGATAACGATGATTAAAGTTCAATGCAAAGTCCGAATACAAGAAAATCTGTCGGAAATTATGAAGATCTACAACACATTATGACAGGGAGATGTACTGTCCTATATTTCTTAATCTGGCTTTGGAAAAAGTTATAAAACAATCCGGAATCACAAGGAATGGAACAATCTAACAAATCTATCCAAATCCTCATTTATGCGGATGATATTGACATAATAAATAGATCAGAAGTTATCAAAGAAACCTTCACTGCTCTAAAAAATGCAATGGGACTTTCAATAAACATCAGTAAGACAAAGTATATGCTTGCAACAGTGCTGACATAAGGGAACAATGAGGATCGATAATAATGAAATAGAATTGATCAGAGAATTCATATATTTGGGATTGTTGATAACTAATGATAACAATAACACAGCAGAAATAAAAAAGAAGGATCTTGCTAACAAACAGATACTACTTCGCTGACCCAATTAAAATCACAGAATATCAACAGCGAAATAAAGAGCAAACTTTACAAAACATTGATAAAACTAGTACTGACGTATGACTCAGAAACGTGGATACTCACAAGGAAGGATGAAATAACGATAGGATATTATGAAAAATATATAGAGCCATTAATGAAAGAGATATGAAGACAGTGATATAACTTTCAGTTGTACAGAATCTTTAGGGGGCCGGATGTGGTTAAATCAAATTAAAGTGGGTTGACTTAGATGGATAGGACATATAATGAGGAATGATAATGATCTTATCATCATTATCATTCATGACGATATTATCATTTATATACTAGGAAACATTGTTGAAAAAGCCAATGGGACAGAAAGGATGGGTAAGATCAAAAACTAGATTTCTGGATAATGTCAAAAACAATATAAAAATGATTGGAATTAGAGAATTGAGACGAAAAACCCTGGATAGGGACGTATGGAAACAAATTCTAGAGGAGGCTAAGGCTTATTCAGGGCTGGAACATCAAAATAACAATAACTAGCAATAAATCTTCGCAACAAGGAGAAAAGATAATGGATTATTAAACATTTTTTATTAAATATTTTTTAGAAGATTATTTAGACTCAATTGCATTAATGTTATTTTGATTTTAAGCGAGGTTTAAAAGGTCTTTTTCTCTGTCTTTTTTTGGCTTTAAAAGGAGGCAGATAGAGTTTTAAGTCTCACTTAAAGTCCGGGTCTTAAGCTAATAGAAGCTATATATTATATATGATGCTCTGCTTTCTATCATTTCGCATCGTCGAACATTACTTCCGGTCCGGGCAAGCTGCCTATTCCTTCTATGGAACGTCAAAGAAAATCGGAGAGAGCCTTTCTCGTTCGGCAGAACTGAATTTGACAAATGGTTTTATTCGGCAGTTGACGAGTGTACGTGCGCGCGACACGTGTCACGCGTGGTCGCGTTCTTCGATGGCGGCTGCCGAGAATATAGCATTCCGACGGAATTTCGGAAGTCACGTCGAAGGACGTCGTCGCTCGTCCGCGAAACGACCCCGGGCCTTCTCGAGTCGCCGTTTGAAATATTTATGATGGAAAATTTTCCAGATTGGGATTGCATGGAAACGGTTTTGCACCGCGATAAAAAGAAATTCCAGTACCGTTTTTAAGTTTTAAGAATTAAATTACACTACGAAAAATTGAGAAAAAGTATTATAAAGAGAATTTGTTAACTGTATTTCTTATAAAAAAATTTATTTTTTTTTTTTAAATAGAAAAACTCAGCATTAATGTACAAGGTTTTTTTATGATAATTATTAATATCTACTTAAGATAAATTA